GACTTGATGTCTTCCTGCAGGGACTGGAAGCTGCGAATCAAAGCGTCAACCTGGGCTTGTGTTGCCATTGCACCACTGCTGAATCTTCAATGAGTCCATCAAATGGCTGCAGATTGCATTAGGTCCTTAGGTGAAGCGTCAGAGCATGCATGACTCAACGAACCAGACATCCTCTGACAATGGAATCATGCACACTCCACGTCTGTCAAACGAGCAAGGGCAACCTGGTTCAACTTCTTGTTGAAGTAGCCATTTCAGCGGTGCGAGCGCATGCTGAAGCTCCCATACTATGCTCCATAAAATGAATAAACCTAACCTTGCCCATTTCGGGATGTTACATCACCTGATAAATAGGATGAGATAGAGTATTTTAAGGATAATGAGCTACTAGTTGTGATTATATGGCCACGGTGATGTAATAACCCAAAATGGGCGACCCCCATAACCTTGTCCATTCTGGGCAATTTCACCTTAAAATAGGATATTTTCTATATGGTTTTGTGTTTTAGGACATAATGGCTACTAGTTGGGCCACGGTGGTGCAATTACCCAAAATGGGCAAGGCCTATCCTAACTTATAGACCCTCTCAATAAGGTCCCTTTAAAGAGGGCCAAAAGTAGGGTTCAGAAGGGGTACCCTTTAAGGGGTACCCCTACTAATACTACCTAGGTATGCGGCTTTGGGGGGGTGGCTTAAGGCATGTACGAGTTTGCAGTTTTCGCTTGGGTCTAGGCCTCAAGCTTGAGGATGTCAGAGCTCAATCAGAGCAGCCTGGTCTAGGGGTTTAGGGTTTAGGGTTTAGGGCGCAAGGTACCACTATCACACGGTGCGCGGCTTCTCGTGCACTCAGACTATTTCTGCTAAACCTGAAATGGAACAAAAGCATTGGAAAACCCACTCCCACTGTTGCTCAGGATACAGCAAGAAACAACACGACCACTGCAGCGCAGACCGATAATGTTGAACTCCGGTGCTGACCCTGTAACCGTCGGATCCGTCGCATGAGGCTGGTAAAGCTAACCGGAAGCCTTCCTTCAACCCCAAACGGACCTTTTCAGCATGGGCTTGGATTGTGTGCCAGCGAACACACCTCAACAGCAGGGCCTTCTCGGTTTGGTCTTTAGGTCCGTTTGGGGACCTAAAGACCAAACCATACAAACTTCCGGCCGGGAAGCTGCGAAGGTCACGACCACGCCGTGGCTGACAAGCCGCGGATCCTTGTGGTGCGCGAGCCTGGGGTAACGGGCTGCTATACTCTAGTGCTGTACATGGTTTTAACAGGGACCTCAACCCTAAACCGAAACCCTAAACCCTAAACCCTAAACCCTAAACCCTAAACCCTAAACTACCGTTAAACCCTTAAAAGGGACCTCCAAGGCTCATAGGGCTTTTGCTTAGCAAGGGCTCTCGGGCTTGGTGCGACTTGGCCTGCCCTGGTGAGGCCTTGCCACATGTTGGGGTTTCCGAAAATAGGGGTACCTTATTTTGGGGTCCTTATGTTAAGGATCCTATTATTTAGGGTGCTATATTAGGGTCCCCTATTTTCGGAAACTCCCATATACCAACAGCAGCATCACCGTTAAACGCCCGAAGCCTCTGATTCTACATTCTACAATCATTCATTTAGAGATGAAGCCAGCGCGCACGGTGTCCAAAAGGTGTTTCACTGCGTGTTGTGTGACTGCCGCAGTTTCGACATTGACAGACCGTCATATGCATCTGGGCGTATGCATACATACGCATATATATATATATATACACACACACATACATACATACATACATACATACATACATACAGACATACATACACACAATATACACACAGACATACATGCATGCATATATATATATATATACATGTGTATATATATATATATATATCCACAGCAGAAACATGCATGAATAGATAGATAGATAGATAGATAGATAGATAGACAGATAGATAGGTAGGTACGTAGGCAGGCAGGTAAATGCGTAGATAGATCGATAGGTAGGTAGATAATGGTAGATAGATAAATGGATAGATAGGTAGATACATAGGTAGATAATAAAAAAAATAAATCGATGGATAAACAAATAGATGGATATATACGTAGGTACGTGGGTAGGTAGATCGATCCGTGTGCATGCATGAACATGTCCACTTGATTGTCTGTCCATGTCAACCTGTACATATCAGGCCATACACCTGAACCAGAACCATACCATGCAGAGGGTTTGGACTGTAGTGTGTGTGTGTGTGTGTTCCTGGAAATCCTTGCGCCGACAGACATTCGCTGAAAACATATGCAGCCACCACAAGCATGAGCTGGAAGCACCCATCAAACACTCTGAAAGAGCCCGTGTCCTTCAAAGCCTCAAACCCCTTACCGAACCTGAGATCCAAACTCGAAGCCCCAAAGCCAACGCGCAATTAATTCCGAGGCAAGTATGAGACAACAAAACCATGCAGACTTACATACATACATAAATACATACTTACATACATACATACATACATACGTACGTACATACAAACGTACATACATACATACATACATACATACATACATGCATACATACATGCATACATACATACATACATACACATGAATGTGTGTGTACGTGTGCATATATATATATATATATATGTATATATATATATATATAGAGATAATGTGATATACTAAATGCAGCATGACAGCAATGCGAGATTGCACATCATCTAAACATAGCATATATTGATTATGCACTATAGATGATAGAAACATGACGTATAAACTATATAATGTATACGATGTAAAGGTAATGTATAAGGTAAAATATGGAATGCACAATACTGAAATATAGGATCTGTCTAGTATATAAGTACGCTATGATATACAGTACAGAATAGATAACTCTGTCACATAGCATTGGGAGTATAACCTAAGCACGGACTCGTAAGGGTTTCCCCACCAGCTTAGAGGACAGAATCCATATTGTATGACAGGTCGTATATGAGGAGTAGTACACATGTAACCTTTGCATTGTATACATATGTATATATATATACAATACACATAGGGCTGTATAAAAACTATGTGTATATATACATATATACGCACATACATACATGCATGCATGCATTCTTACATTCATTCATACGACGGACGGACTGACGGACGGATGGACAGACGGACAGACAGGCAGACCGACCGACGGACGGACGGGCGGACGGACAGACTGGCAGACACAAATACATACACCATACATAACAAAGAACATGACACACATAGTAGGTAACAAACCAACAAACAAAGTTTAATGTACGACATCACCACACCAAACAGAGGAAGGGCGGTGAGACCCCAGAGGAAGAGCCCCCATTCTGCCAGATCCCAGTGGCCATTTCAGGGCTTGACTGAAGTTGCCCTCCACATCTTGGACCAAATGCCTAAGCTTTACGTTTGAGGGTTTGGGTTTCGGGTTTAGGGTTTGGGTTTAGGGTTTAGGGTTCCAGAGTTGCAGGGTTTTGCCTCCTACTTCGCAGGGTTAATGTCTGGGAAGTTAGCCGCCGTTTCGAAGACTTCGTGGCCCAAGTGCACAGAGGGCTTCGACTCGCACGCTCACAGAAGGAAAGCACGGATCCGCAGCAACTCCACTCCACAGAGGTCTTAGGGTTTCTGGGTGTTTGGGGGCTTAGACTCTCGCGGAGCACAGAGAGGTTGGATCAGAGCCAGGCTTTTCAGAGGCACTCTCGGCTTGAAGGGTTGGGAGCGTATAGGCGGCAGAGGGTTTCGAGGGTGCCGGGAGCGTGCCGATTGCTGGTGCGCACGACGGCAACTGCTACTCTCTCGATAACGAAGGCTCGCATGCATGTGATGTGGGGTTCTGTCTCCCCAGAATGCAAACCCAAAATGACCCACACTGTGTCAGACTCACCAAATTTTTCAGCGGCCCGATGCAGACCGCAATGAAACCCTGAGAAAATCCTCTCTAGAACTCTTATCAATCCCCGATAGAACCTTGAGAAAAACGCTCATGAACCCATCATGGGGCGGCGCTTGAGTCCTTCCAGCCGGCGATGGGCCTAAGCGCCTTTAAAGCCTTTGAAAGACATAAGGGGTATACACCATGGCTCCTAAGCAGGGGTTAGGGTGTCCTTAGCCCATTTCTTGCATCCAGAATCCTGAAGCCAAAACCAACATCCCAAACTCAACCCAAAATCCCATATTCCTATGCTGAGCTGCTTGATGTAGTAGTTGACACGGCGCTGGCCGTTCTGCACTAGCCTCGACCGCCAAACGAGGCCTGAGCTGCACCCAGTGCAGCAGCCCGGTGGGGTGATTGCTGGGGAAGACTTTACGGCTTTCGTTTTAGGGAAGAGGGGTTTCAAGTTGTCTATACTAAACAATTGGATTTTCTGGAGGTTGTAGAAGATGCGAAAGGGCTTCAGTGAAGTTCGCGCAGCAAGGACAGAATTAGACAGTACAGACAGCATAGACGGACATCAGAGGCTCCTGGTCTCACTACTACTAGTCGCTTAGTGCAGTAAGATTCTGCCGGCAGGGTGGTATATGTGGCCCGATCCTCAGGGTCTCAAACCTAAAAAAAGCTCTGAAACTACCGCAACGATACTTTCAGAAATTAAGGGCCCTATGCCCTGTTGCAAACACCAGGTAGCTCTTCTTACGAGGACCTTTCAACACGGCATCCTTTGTCTGCAAAATCACAAATGAACCTCAAGGCTACGTTCTCATTCTCAGACGGCTTAGGGTTTAGGGTTTAGGGTCCCTAATTAAACCCTAAACCCTAAACCCTAAACCGTTTTAGGGTTTAGGGTTCTCATTCTCTGCGAGATGCCATCAAACAAGGTCCACAGCAACGTCGATGCATCGCTGCACAAGCGCAAGATCAGGTCCGGATGCCGCGTGAACATGGCATCCTCAGCTGAAGAACTCTGGACGAAGAGCTTTCGGCCCTGCGCCTTTTTGCCAGGCCGTTGTTTAGGGGTTTAGGGTTTAGGGTTTAGGGGTTTAGGGTTTAGGGTTCAAGGGTTTAGGGGTCTTTTCTTGTTTTACACTTTTTTCCGGCTGCACAAGTAATCATGCGCCAGAGCCTTATTAGGCAGGCTTCAGGAAGTAGGGTCTAGGGTTTAGGGAGATGTGTCCGGATAGCTCTGTCATTGACCGTATCAATAAAAAGGAAAACACCCAATGCACAAAAAGCTTCTCTGCGCAGGACCCTTCCCATGCCATGGGTCTTGCCCTGTAGAAAAACAGCAAAATCATATCCATAGGTCCTCCATAGGTCATAGGTCATTGGCTTTTCAACGTTTCTCAAAGAAACGATAGAATGACCCGCAAATCATTCAACCCCTGACACGCCACCGAATCGCAAACCTAGCTCATGAAAGCTGCAGCTTCGCTTCTTGAAGTGCGGCGGTGGTATGAGTACACCCCCGAAACCCTCTAACCGACTTCGGCCCATAGTGGTACCCTTTCTGCTCGATTGCAGACCCAAACCTCACCTGCGCCAAAGAAACACCAAAGTTCGAGCCGCAAGCCCAGGCAAAGCCTATAATGCCTCCAGAAGACCACTCCCAAGCCTTCTAAAGCCTATCTGTAGCCGAAAAGACCTACCTTTCTAGGGTTCCTTAGTATGGTTCCTATATAGCTCCTTCAGAATGTAGGTCTTTTTAGGCCACAGGTACAGTCCAAGCTACACAGCCATAGTAGTACACATCACGGTCCGCTCGGATCGTCAGGAGGTCCACGAGCATCGCACGGGCGCCTCGCTTTCGGAAGGATGCTCAAAGGTTCTACAAGGGTAGGTCTCTAAATTAGGGTCCCTTTGAAAGTCCCGTACATGTTTTGTGGACCTAAAAATGACCTCAATGTAGAGAACTACCCATATAGGGTTATTTTTAAATAAGAATAACGTTTCAGGGTACAGTTTGGATGCTGTACATCAGGACCATAAGGGAATACTGTTAGCGACTATTGCGACCCCTGTATGAGTCTTGTCTGAAAAGCTGTGGGTCGTGCTGCAACTGCTACCACCGCCACCCACGACCGACGGCTATTCCGACTATGCTTCCTCCTGCTTCTACTACTACTACGACGACGACGACGACGACGACTACTACTACTACTACTACTAGCTACTACTGCTGCTGCTGCTGCTACTACTACTACTACTACTACTACTACTCCGCCTACCCCTACCCCTACTCCTGCTGCTGCTGCTACCACCACTACCACATCAGCAGCAGCTCTCGCTTCCTCGTCGGCAACAGTGCCACTGCTCGGTTTTGGCTATGGCATGCTGTCCATCTCCAAGTCACAGGTCCCCCCCACCGCTTCCTCCAAAACTCAAACGCTCTCAATATGGGGGTTTCCGAAAATCGGGGACCCTAATATAGTACCCCAAATAATAGGATCCCTATTATAAGGACCCCCAAAATAAGGTACCCTAATTTTTGGAAACTCCCATATCTGTGAAGAAGCGGCCCTCAAGAGTGATGCCGAGGCGCTGTTCAAGCTGCCACTCTCGATGGACCAGAAAAGGGGGGAGATGGACTGGGTGCCTTGGTTAAGAAGCTGTGCAGGGCTTCCGGCATGTCACATGTTTTCCTGGGCGTAAGCTTCTCTGGCGTCGCGCATCGCTAAGACGAGCCCACGAGGTAGGGAAACCGTGCATTGGGGTCTACGTTTAGAGGGCTTAGCCGCTTTAGCAGTTCGGAAATGGCGTAGGACAGCTTGTGGGCTTAGAAGCCCAGTCGGCTCGGCTGTCCCTTCAGGGCTGAGAAAGTCCAGATGAATGGACTTCGACACGCAGCGATGGGGCCGGTGAAGAGGTGCGAAGGGGGCGCAACACACCAGCCGAAACCAGGCACTGGGGCACTTGACCTGCTTGATCCCTGATAGCTGCACACCCTGAATCTTTGTCACACTGGTATTCGCAAGGTGTATGTAAAACCGGGGTGCCGTTGTTTATTGTATTGCGATTAGATGGAGCGCACTTCTTTTGCAGGGAATCGCTGCCGAAACGCCATCCTATCTTCATGAATACTGTGACAAACTAATCCCTATGTGTGAGTGTGTGTGTGTGTGTATGCATGCATGTGCGCATGTACATACGCTTCTATGCATGCATGTATGCACGTAAGTATGTCTGCATGTATACACACATGAACAGCACAACATCGAACGATAACACTGGCAACCTTCGTGAGGAAACTTGCGAGAATAAACTCAGGCGAGCGGCCCACAGAAATGTTTAGCAGCTCCATTGCCCGTCTACCTCGCGGGGCGATGGAGATGGCCTTCTTCAGCGAAGCTTCCTGGCAAAAGCGATGACGGGTTGGGTTTCCGACAACTGGAGGTGATAATGCTGTTGCTCGGACGGTGGTCTGATGGTGAAAATCTTCCCGGCGATCCCGACAGCGATGATAATTCTCTGCAGTAGTTTGGTTGGTGCGGTGATGGTGATCAAGGTGGTGCTGGCGATGGTGATGACGATGACGATTCGGGTGTCAATGGTGATGTCTATAAAGACTATGTTGTCGATAATAATGATGATGATGATGATGATGATGATGATGACGATGCTGACGATGGTGGCCATGCTGGTGGCAATGAAGAAGAAGATGCTGATGATGATGATGATGATGATGACAGTGACGACGGAGCTGATGATGATAATGATGATGATGACGACGACGACGAAGATAATGAACGTGACGGCGACGGCGAAGGCGATGATGATGATGATGATCGATGATGGTCGATGATAATGATGATGATGATGATGATGATGATGATGATGATGAAACGGCGGTGGTGGTGGTGACAATGGTGGTGATAAGGATGTTGATGATGATGGTGGTAGTGGTGGCCGTCACTGCAGTGATGATGATGATGATGATGATGGTGGTGGTGGTGGTGGTGGTGGTGGCCGTCACGGCGATCATGATCGCGATGGTGGTGAGGGCAGTGATCGTGATAATGTGTAAGGTAGTCGGTGGGTGAGGTTGGCGAAGTTGAAGCGACGCCCTCACTGGCCCTCAAGACCTTCGAGGTCGCTAGCCTGTTCCATGGGGAGAATAATGCTTGAAAATCAGCTCAGTCCCAACATGGCCTGATTGGTGTTAATCGCTCTCATCACGAGAGTGGATCCCTCGGTGACAGCCCGGACCTTGGCCGAAAAGGCCGCGAGCCAGAGCTTGCGGGTCCAGTCAGGGTTTGGGGTTCAGGGCCCGGCGTCTTGTAAAGGTTTTCGGGCTCAGGTCAGGGTTCAGGGTCTAGGTTCCGAGGCCTCAGAGTTGAGTCGAGTTCTCAAAGTAAAAACCCCGACCCTGCGCACTGGCTCCTGAAAGGCATGTTCCGGCCTCGTGGTTCAGAGTTTAGGGGGCTTTGGGGCTCAGACTTCGTTGCAAACAGCTGCTTCAGTTTCCCATAGTTCCGAAGGATCTTCAAGGTAGAACCCCTCCCCCCACCATGCTTGCTGCCCCTATACTACTGTTTGCTGCGGGGCAAAAATGTACAGAATCACTCCAGGGGTTTGTAGTGATCCATGCAGCGCCCTACTTGCTAAAACGACCCTACACCCATCATTGATGCACTATTGAATATTATTGCAACTGTAACATTCAGTGTATAATATGACGACCTTCAACAAAACCTGCTTGAAGAATACCCCAGTTTATGTCTCCAGAAACCTATATACACCCCCAAACAGCGCGACGTGAGACAAGCTGGATGTTCACGGGGAGGCATGAGACGAGCTTCACGAAAGTGCGGATTACGCTCAGAAGTTCGGTGAGAAGCAAGCTGGCAACGGAAGAGGTGTGATTCGGGGGATGCGAAACCAGTACGGCTCTTTCAGGCACCGGACCCGTGGGACTACGACGGATTCAAAGAGGTGTCGGCAGTGGGACCGCGAGCTCAGGTTGCGTGGGTGTTCAATGGAGAAACAGACATACTTTCAACATTACAGCGCAAACATCAGATGAAAATGATCACAGGGTTCCCAAGGATAGAAGAGTCGACTTCAAAGTAGTACATATTCAGAAGATCGAAATACTTCACGCAGTTTCGGAACGGCTTGGCTGGAAGGAAACAAAAACTCTGGAAATTGCGATTCACTTTGCTATGACACATCCAGTTGAAACTGTACAGTCAAGATACTATACCGCAAACTCCCAAACATTGAAAAATGTTCAAATTAACCCTCAATCCTAAACCCCACGTAGAATACCTATAGCACACCTGGGTGCCACTCTCCATAATATAGGAGCCGAAATCATTGCCAATACTCTTCTGGGGGTTCCTTATTATACTTATCAGTATAATGGGCCCCAAAACACTATTCTGATTATTAAGGCCCCTAAACCCTAAACCCTTATAGTAACCCTTATAGAACCCTTTAAGGAACCCTTAAAGGGAACCCCTACATTACAACTAAGCCAAGGCGCTAGGATCTTCGCAATGAGCGAGAGAGAGAAACCTCAGCTTCAGCGCCGCGGAAACGAAAGGGTTTGAGGGTTTAGGGTTTTTTGGCAGCACAATCACTCTGAGCTCCAAGCCTGTGCACTTCCACATCCCTACTCAGTTGGCCGATTGCCCACTTCACTCGGGATGGGAGCAAATAAAAGAAACAAACCACTAGAGGCACCGCTCATCCACGCTATACAGACTCCACACTCCGCGGAAAAGGGCCCACCTGGTAACTGTACTCAAGAACTACATACGCATCAGCCAAGAGCTGGTCTCGTGGCGGGAGCTCAAAGAGCACTTGAGAACATACCTAGGGGTTAGGGTTTAGGGTTTAGGGCTTTGACAGTGGGAATCCGTAGGGTCCGGGGTTTAGAGTTCGTGGTTTAGGGTTTAGGGTTTGAGGTTTGGCGTTCGGGTTCGGGATTTAGGGACCAGACATAAAACCATGCTAAGACACCCTATGTGCAATACATCTTTGCTGAATAACCATCAGCCTCTTTTTGGTGAGCCCCAATGGGTTACTTGGCCTAATAAAAAACCACAACTAGACCTTGTTCTGGGAGAATCCCGGGCGTCTCGCAAGGCAGCGCAGTGCCAGGAAGCGAGTATCCTACATGTCAAACTCCCCCAAGGAGCCCATGCCCAAACACTGAGCATCCCGAAACCCTGACGTACTATACAATCATGCGATTTACTTAGGCTTGCTCATTTTCCCTTCTAGCAATAACCCAAACCAGATTCTACTTATAAAGGCCCCTCGAGGGCCCCTGGCACTCTGAAGTCCAGGCAGCGAAAGGCGGCTTGCGCGTTCTCGTCTGGAGTCCTTCAGGCGGAGCAGTAGGCTATTCGGGCTTGGGGCTCACCACGCTTTCGTCGGGGTTTGCGGAATCAAGGCTTCTGGATTTAGAGTTTAGGGGTATTGGGGGTTTAAGGTTTAGGGGCAAGATCCTCCCCTGTGAAGTTCGTAATCTGTCCCTAGAGCTTAGGGTCGGAGGACTTAACCCTGGCCCCATAACCCCAAAATATATTAGGGCTCATATTAAGAACCCCTAATAAAGAGCCAGGGCTTCTTAATCAGGTTCCTACATGGGGGTTTCCTCAATAGGGGGCCCTAATATAGTATTTGGGGTTTCGACTCACACACTCGGCAAAAGCAGGCTCGCAAAAGCAGGCATGGCGAGAAGTGTCCGAGCTTTACTTACAGGATCATGGGACTTAGTAAGTAGGGTGATAAATTAGGGTAACTCTACTAATAACCCCAATTAAGGGGCTTATAACCTTACCCCTAAACCCTAAACCCTAAACCCTAAACCCTAAACCCTAAACCCTAAACCCTAAACCGTTACTAAGGCCGATGATCCTCCAAGGAGGGTTTAGGGTTTCGCCTCTCCGTCTCGCAGATAGCAGGCAAGGCTCCACAAAGGTCCGGTCACGTGAGAGAAGCTGCAGGGCTCATGCGGTTTAGGGTTTAGGGTTTAGGGTTTAGGGTTTAGGGTTTAGGGTTTAGGGTTTCTTCCCAGCTGATTGGCAGAGTCTGGGTTCAAAACAAAGGGCTTAGGGTTTAGGGTTTAGGGTTCATGATATACCCATCGGAACGCATGTAAACCATAACCACCCATAAGGCCCCTCCCCTGCTTCTCAAAGAGGCATTGCTCTACTAGATCAAGCTACGAAGCTACAGTACGACATAGTCTCCACTAGTGATCTGCTTCATGGTCTATGAGTTTGAGCGCCCGCTTCAGACTGCAGCATAGAGTTTAAAAGTATAAACAACAGGGCTACAATAGCTAAACACCAAACCAACACATGCTGCAGGGGGCCTGTTCCAAAACATGTGTGACATTTCTCAGTCCATCATGTATGAATTCTTCACGCATCCCAGTCCCGACCACGAGCTGCCAAACTGTTCTGATGCCAACGAGTGTGTCTCAGGCATAAAGCCAAACAGCCACAAGTCAGCATGCTGTACGAACCACGTTCGGCATCGCCACAGAAACACTCCCAACGATGCTCATTCGTTCTCATTCATCTCATTTTTCTGACATAGTTGAATTCCCAGGCGGCTTTTACTGGGTTTTGCATGCAGTCCGATTTGCTTATTTCGTGTTTAGGGTTTAGGGGCGTGCAACAGCCCTGACTCTCGAAAGCTTACACCCTCAGCCCTACGTTCAAGCCGAGTGTCAGGGCTCGAATCGTATCCACCGCGCCAGAGCAGTACGGGGAAAAGAGTTCCGGAGGGATACCCCAACCGACCTCGGAGGTTTTCTCTTTTCTGGGCCCTTCTCCCTCTCTTGGGTCGCAGAGTTGAGCCAAACCCCGGGTTTACAGGGTTGGGACTGATCCGAAGGTCCAAGAATCAGGGCCCCCTTTCGAGTGTAGCGTTCTATGTTCTGGGCCCCAAGGTTTCTGAAACTGAGACGTGGCATTGTGCCCCGAACCTACAACGCTCAGTGAGCGACTCCGCTGATCAAGGGTGGCTAAACGCAAAGGGCCTTGCGATCGTTCTTGTAAGAGTGCCGTTGCCGTACTATGTTTGGGACCTGAAAAGGAACCCTAGTTTAGAGAACTAGACACGCAGACTATACGACTCTTGAGGATCCATTATTGAGAAGACTGTTGGCACGGAGTGAGGACTCAAGATGATCCATAGATCTTAAGGATGCATGACCCAGATTCCTAGATGCCCGAGATCCATGAGACGGCTGGCTAGTGCCTGCCGTGGCTGGACGAGGTTGCGGTCGAGGGGTTTGGGAAGTTTGAACAGCTTATGGCTTATAGGGGATCTCTGCGACACCCGAGGCCATGATCACGGAATGCCAAACACGGATGAGCTGCCCTGAACCCCCAAACCCTCGATTCTACAGTCCCAAACCCAAGATGCCTGGGCTCTTTGAACCCTAAACCCTAAGCACAAAGTCCCTACTTGGAGGATCATGGGACTTAGTAAGTAAGGTTTTAAGTCCCCTAATTGGGGTTATAAGTATAGTTACCCTAATTATAACCCTACTTACTAAGTCCCATGATCCTTTAAGTATATCCCACCTACAATGGGAAGCGAAAAGACTGCTCCGAGAGCAGAAGCCAGAAAGTTGCAGCCTGACGAGCCTCATGCCTCTTAGGGTTTAAGGTTTCTAGGGGCTTAGGGGCTGAGGTTTTTAAGACCTAGGCCTTAGTATCTAGTATTATATAAGATCCCCGCACTAAACCATCCTATCCAAACCCATGTTTCGCCTTTCTGTGGTTGGCCCTAAACACTAAACTATATAAACCCCTAGAAGCCCTTCCGAGAATTTCCGGGGAGAGTTGCGTGTCGAAGGCCGAGCCCCGAGATTTCTTGCACCATCTTCCTGGGCTCGCCTTTGACAGAAAAGGGGCGGCTTTCCGGGTTCAGGGTTTAGGGTTTCTTTGAGTTTAGGGTTTAGGGGTTCAGGGTTTAGGGCTTTTTTGAGTTTAGGGTGTAGGGGTTCAGGGTTCAGGGTTTTTTGAGTTTAGGGTTTAGGGGTTCAGGGTTTAGGGTTTGGCTTGCAGGGTTTCTGATTTCAGGGTCAAGGCTTGATCGAGTTTCAGGGTGTTTCTCGTCAAGGCTTCTGTCAGGTCTATGTATGGCTTAGGTCTCAAGGGTTAAGTGCTATACAGGCCTTTGGCTGTGGTGGTCATAGCTGAGCGCGTGCATCATTAATTGCAGAGGCCTTAATAATTAGACTTGGGTTTTGGGGTTTGGGGCCCATTACCCCATACCTATCATAAGGAACCCCACGCTTGTTCAGGCTTTACGTCCAGCTTCTGTGGCGAAGTGCCTGAGGTTTCACCGCCCCTAATGTAGGGGCCTTAAAAATTAGAAAAGGGTTTGCGGGCCCAGTATGCTATAATTATAATCAGGAGCCCCAAAATAGTATAGGTAGTTATTTAGGCCCCTATGTTGCAGGTTGGGTCCACCCTACAGGGACGGGCCATGGAAGCAAGCTTTTGGGCTGCAGGGTTCTCTCTTGGCAAGGCGAAATGCCAGACCTGTGATTTTGCCAGGCGGTTCTCGAGTTGATGTTCCGGATTCTTGACACGAAACTGACCGGTCACCAAGTGACCGGTTTAGGGTTTAAGGTTTAGGGTTAGGGGTTTAGGGTATTGCAGCGAAGCCGCGATACATCTCCACAGTCATCTCGACAACTCGGTCCGCCAAGAAGTACCTGAAACACACAAGGGAATCGTGGCTGAAGGGGTTTGCAGGAGGAGACCTCGAAAAGTGGTGGGTTGTTGCCAAGCTATTTGCAATGATGGTACTGTAATATAGGGGCCTAAGGGCCCACTATAAATATAACAAGGAACCCCAAATAGTACTGGTATTCCACTATATTATACTGCCCTTTGTCACTCTAGGTCATCTCTTCATGTCGGCAGGGTGCAGCCGTGTCGTTGACTGCTTGAAGAAGTCTTGGCCCGAAGGGGCATTGGCGAAGAAGCGCTTGTAGAGCTCCTGCGATAGAGCTTGGGGATAGGTTTAGGGTTTAGGGTTTAGGGGAGATTGAAACTCACAATCGGAGAAGCCAGGCTAGATCTGCGACGACGGTCAACGAGGCGAAAAGTTCAAGAAGCTGAAACACGCTGTCATCTCATGCCTATAAGTTAAGGGCCTATAACGCACAAGCCACACGTAACAATCAAAGTCACAGCAGTCGACTCTCAGGACGCCCGGCTCTGGGACCCCACGAGATAATTACTGGAGACCCCCAGACCCAACGGGCCCCGGGCCCCGACGCCGGTGACGCGGATTCTACTTGGCACGGCATCTGCAGTTTTACATCTTTGGATCTCTGTCGGTCCATCTGCACCGGAGCGCTGTCGGTGAGCATCGGTGTCATGCTCAAGTGTGCCAGATGCGAGCAGGCGGCTCGTCGACGGCCGAGGCAGACCCACGAAGTTTTGCGCTTCGTGCACTCTGCGTGCAATATAGGGGCCTTAATAATTTTAACAGGGTTTTGGGGCCCATTCTACTTTATAAATATAAGAAGGCCCCAAAATAATGTAGGCAATTATTTAGGCCCCTACAAGAAACCTTCATTTAAACAACGGCTGAGCCACGCACGCAGCTGATACTGTGACACCGAACTCTCTACAGGTCCCAGAAACTGCGTGGCGTCTCAAGCGCGACGGTGTTCACAAGTCTTCAGATGAACTAAAGACTTCGGAATCGGGGCTTCCACCTTGAGATTTCGCACTCGGAGTCACAAAGAAACTCCGAGAACATAAAAACGTGGAAGCCCGGACTGGGATATTAAATAAGAACCATGCTTGCTGCTTGGCACTTGGATGCGCCCGATGAACAAAAGGCCCAAACTTCCTGTACTAAGTGCTACTCACCTGTCAGTCACCCTTTACTGAACGCAGGCTCTGATCATCAGCTGGGGAGTCGGCCACACGTGCTCCGCACAACGTGCAGCGACTGAACTCTGGAAGTTGAAGTGCATGTGCAACAACACATAACAGCAGACCTTTCAGTCACCCTAGGCCCTAAACCCCAAACCTCGAACCAGCACAGTGCCACCCTGGGCCGGTCGGACGTGACGATGGCTCGACATCATCTGCACGGAAATAACCGAACATCAGTCGAAGAAGTCTCAGAGAGAAGCTGTTGTGAGTAAAAAATGCGTTACATGCTACGGGAAAGGTCAGATGACTCTGGATTCCAAGGGCTGGGTCGTCGGCTCTCCAGCTCGATTTCTTTACCCTGGCAAAGGAAGGTCATTTCCGAGCTTTGCTTTACCGCGCCTTAACGACCCGGCCCGAGTTGTCCACAGGGGTGGCTCTGCTTGCTTTGGGAGCAAGCTGCCTCACTGTCTACCGCCCGGCTGTCCTTGGGCCGCGATGTGGAAAGAAATAAAGCGTAGGAAGCAGCTTCGACTCGACGCACGCAGCGCGCGTCGAGTCGGCCGACTGCAAACTTAAGAAAACTAGTATTGGTCACAGGTTGACCCAGGTCAGAGGTAGTGGACAAAGAATGAGGACAATTCGTTCACCATGGCGACATTGACTACCTAACGACCTTGAATCAGCAGAAGTTCTGAGCTAAGCTTAATACTGCTTTCTGGAAGAGAACTTCCCTCCTTCACAGAAGCCTGGAATTCATATCAAAGGGTCAGAATGAGCAAGGGGGCGGCTCCCAAAGATTGTCCATGGTGAAGCTGCCGATCGTGCGTGACCCCGTCGTCCTCTGTGCGCTTCACTTTCTTTGGAACTTTGATTGCCTTGGTGGGGGCCGGAAAGAAGGTCCTGCTGCCCTTGTAGAAGAGCACAGGCTTGCACTCGTCCGGCACGCTGGGGTGCATCACGCTGTTGTTCTGGTAGTACTCAATGGCCTCCTTCAAGCCCTGGTGCCGTGCACACCAGCAAACCTCTGCGACGTGAGAGCTGGGGAGTCCCCAGTTCTTGAAGCCGCAGAAGTGCTTCCAGAAGCGGGCCACCGTGTCTACATCGACAAAGTTGATGAAGGCATAGCACAAGGAGACCTTCTCCCTGAAGCAAAGCGGCACGTAAAGAAAGTCGAAGGTGCCGGCGAAGCCCTCCCTGGCCAGCAAATAGATCAAGCGCCCCCGAGAAAAACATGCGGGAAGGTTGCGTAGCATAACCGTAGTCCACCCTTCGGAGTTCGCGATCCACTGCTGATAAGCACCTGTCGTGCTCGGGTCTGGCACGCTGCTCTGAGAATGTGGGACTTCATGCGAGCGAGTCTTGCTGAGTCTGTGCTGCTGAACGCCCATCAACTGCAGCGGCACATCTAGCACTTGTGGACCAGACTGTTCTTCATCGCTGGTACACGTGATGGTCGAGGACTGACTACTGTCGCTCAAAGGCCTTTCGTAGCCAGTCTGGTACCGGGGCAGCAGTGAAATCATCTGCTGAGTCTGCTGCAAATGCTGGATACTTCCCATCAGCATGTGCGACATGAGCTCGGATTCTTGCTCCTGCGGCCGATGCTACCTTAAGAACGTCTTGAGCCAGTTTGAGGGGCGAGAGCTACGGCCGATGCAAGGGTCAGCACAATGACAGTACCTTCCCTGCTGAAAAGTCGGTTGCGAGCCTAAGGGCCCAAGACCGCGCGAAAAAAAAAGAAAAACAGCCAGCAGAGAATGCTTTCATCAAGGTGCCCTAAGTTGCGGCCCTGTCGGCATCGAAGCGCTGTTCCGAAGGCTCATGCCAAAACAGCCACAAAGGGCCTTGTCTTCTCGACTACGCGATGGTCCCGGAAATGTGCTCTGCCAGGCTCCTTCCGGAATGTCGTGGCCTGCTCCTCCGTGAGGCTAGCAATCAGATGCGTCAGCGCTCTCCTTGGTTTGAGAGCTAGACAGGTGCACTGAAAGCCTGTACATCTGATCGCGTTTGCTCCTGCCACCGTCAACATCACACGTCGCCATGGAAAGCTTGAACATGAAATGGAGCTCGAACGAAGCCCCGGAAAAAGAGAGAGAGAAAGAGAGTCGAGAGAGAGAGAGAGAATGGAAACTTACGTTGGCCCAACAACCGAGAAGCCCGAAACTTTGAATGTTTTGTACCCGAGTGGAATAGCTGAGATGCCCAAGTTCAAGGGCACCAAGAACCAACCCTCCCAGCACCCCAATCCCTACAATAGCCCCGAAGCCACCACACCCAAAGCCGAAAAATCGAACCCTGAAGGCCCCCTTTAACAAACAAGAAAAGCTGAACCCCCCCCCCCACCCCCCAAAAAAAATAATAATAAATAAATAAATAAAACCCCCACACACACACAACCGACCCCGATTAAAAACAAAAACTCTCTGACAGGGGGCTCCAAGATTCGAGGTTTGCCAAGCTGTCCCTGCATGGATCCGAGTAGCTTCGATGCTTTCTTGTAGCAGAGGTCTCGGGTTGCACGGTAGAAAAGTTTTCATCGGGGCCTATGGCCGTGTCAGGGTTCAGGGTTTAGCGTTTAGGGGTTAGAGGCTTTAGGGTCTACAGGGCTTGAGGCTTGAGGTAGTAATATGGCAAAGGCCCCTCGGATCCTTCTTGCAGACGAGTTTCAGGATTTCTGTGTCGCTTGGGGAGTTTCGACACACACAAAACCGCACAGGGCAGGCATGGATTCGCATGACTTCACGACGTCCGAGATGGGGATTTCCGAAAATAGGGGACCCGAATATAGTACCCTAATATAGTACTCTTTATCATAAGGACCCCAAAATAAGGTACCCCGGATTTTCGGAAACCCCCAGATTCGGGGCGTTGGGCTTCCTGGTGCTGTCTGCCCCGGTTTTTGTTGGCGGCGTGTCCTTTGGCCGTTTCGGCGTCACCAGGCGAGGACTCTGATTTTTGTCTTTATGAGTATTAAAGCTGCAACCATAATAACAGCAGCAGCAGCAGCAGCAGCAGCAGCAGCAGCAGCAGCAGCAGGAGTAGCAGGAGTAGCAGGAGTAGTAGTAGTAGTAGTAGTAGTAGTAGTAGTAGTAGTAGTAGTGGCAGCAGCAGCAGTAGTTGGTAGTAGTAATAACAATAATAAACAATCACAACAGTGGAAGAGTCAGCGGAAGGCCCCTCGGAATAGTTTTGGCCACGGGATTTGCGCATGATGTGCTCTCTCCTCTACAAAACTGCTTATATACACAGCATCGGATATGCCTACACCCAAGTGGCTGTGCTTGGAACACTGCATCATGGAGGCCGTGGTCGTGTGTGTCTGGATGGAAGTATGTGCAGCTCTACGTGCGCAGCCATGTACACAAACCCGTAGGAAGCTAATGTAGGGGCCTTATAATTACAACACGGTTCTGGCCATTATGCTGTACATCTCTCTCTCTCTCTCTCTCTATGCTGTACATGTAATCAGGAACCCCAAAATAGTACTGGTAACTATCTAGGTCTCTATTTTACGCTGACGCCTGCGCTGGAAGAACACGGCACGTGACTGGCTGGCCTTGAGTATGCGCTCGATGTTCTCCCAAAGCCAGTTCCATGCCACCTGGCAATTCCGAGCCCCTTTCCGGACCCTGGCTTTAAGATGCGGAGTCTATGTGAGTTCGGGTCTCTGCCGGAAGGGGGTGTCCTTTTTGGCAATCCGTATATATCTCTCTCTCCCACTCACTAACTCTCTTCTTTCTCTGTACCTTCTTCCACACGCGTCAGCATTGCCCTCTCGCGAACCTGCGCCCCGAGCTCTGTTCATTGTTCTTCGAGTGAGACCATGTATTGAGATCCGGTGGATCGCTGTAGTGAACTCCCCCCTTGCACTATTCCTGAGCCCCCACCTCGTGCCTCATCTACCTTGCCGTACCTACTGTTCTGTAGCTAGGTGCTTTGAACTCAATCCTTCAGGACCCTGGCAAATTCCAAGCACCCTCAATCAAGAGCTACAACAAGCGGAGACCAACAGTTAAAAGCTTCATTGTCCTAAGCACCAAAATGTAAACTCAATCCCGGCATGCCTTCCCCCTCTACACATGGAAAGCTCCTGCAGGCTCTGAGAGTGTTAAACCCACATATTCTTCATTAGAACAGGAGCCACGATCAAAGCTAAGTTGAAAGCAAAGTTCATCATTGACATCATCATCGCCATCGAAAACCGTAGAACCGTAATTTAAGGCACGGCCTGACTTACAGTCAGACAAATACCCACCGAATCATCATGTTCATCTTCTCATCGACTCACCATATAACCATTTACGTTCCCGTCCTGACCCAACAGATATCCTGGCCATGGTGGTTACCACGTCTACACAGGATCATAACCATAGTGGCAGTTCATCGGCGATGCCTTTCATCAGCATCACCGGCACTACCACGGCTCAAGAAGAAGGTTGAGCTTGGCGAGATAATAGCCACCAGCTGTGATAGGCTCAGCAAACCTGGCTGCCTGCCTGGCTGCCTGCCTGGCTGCCTGTCTGCCTGTCCGCCTATCTGCCTGTCTGCCTGTCGGCCTGTCTGTCCTGTCTGTCCTGTCTGTCCTGTCTATCCGTCTGTCAGGTCTGTCTGTCTGTCTGTCTCTCTGTCTCTCTGTCTCTCTGTCTGTCTGTCTGTCTGTCTGTCTGTCTGTCTGTCTGTCTGTCTGTCCGGTCTGTCTGTCTGTCGGTCTGTCGGTCTGTCGGTCTGTCGGTCTGTCGGTCTGTCTGTCTGTCTGTCTGTCGGTCTGTCGGTGTGTCGGTCTGTCTGTCCGTCTGTCCGTCTGTCCGTCTGTCTGTCTCTGTG